TCTTTCCAAGAAGGCAGATCAGTATTTTTAAATATTAAAAACTAATTTAACAAATATATATTTATTTTGCCAGAAAACAAGGGTTTCAGTCACTACAATATCCAAATTGCTGCCCATTCAGAGTTACTAGATTAATCTAAACATTACATCAATGCTTTCAGGAAAGATACGGAGCCACTCCAATTTCCAATTGCTTATTTATACATAAATCACTCACTAAATTGCATTGCTAAATTTGACAGTCTTAATCAATGTTTAACGTTGATTAGGAAGTATGACCTCACAACAATTCAGTATAAACAAACATATACATTCTACAATTTCAGTCCCATTTCTTCACCATCCCATTCTTATTTAAGGATATGAATAATCTATAAAAATCTGTTTGGAAGCACCTTCTTCATATTAAAGAAAAATTACTTGGAGGAAATTAAAAATGGAATAAAGAATAAAGATGAAAATATTCATATGCATTATTAAAATCCCAGCGATCTATTTTTATATCATACCAATGAATAAGAGACGTAATTGAGAACCATATGTCCTTGGCTTTTAACCAATGCTTCATGCTCATTAAGGCAGCAAAACTTTCCTAACTTTCTCTTGTGTCCAAACACATGAGGCTCTTTTTGCTCTGAAATAGGCATTTGCCCAAACAAACCAAGTCCTCCTCCATCACATAACTCAAATCTCTCATCCTTCTCTGTCACATTCATTTTCTGTGTGCCTAACTGCTTCCTGCAATCCAGCTACTGTTGTCTCCTACAAACTTATTCCTGTTTCTACTCATAATGTTAATAATGAAACTAAGATTTACTCCCATGTCTGTTGCTTTGACCACATCACTTCTTTTCTCTTCACAGTATCATATGGTTACACAACAGATCCCAAAGATAATCTCAGGACCATTAAATTAAAGTCAGATTTGTTTTATGTGTGCAATCCTTAAGCACGTCTAGCTATACTGTTTGCTTGCCGTTAACCATGCTCAAACTTCCATCTCCTATCTCGAAGACTTTTTTCAGATGTCCTTGATTCACATGATAATCTTATTTTATATTGGAGTTGACTCTCCTTTTTGAAAGCTAGTAAATACATAAAGAGAGAAAGAGAATTGTAAAAGGAATGCTAACAGCTGTGTTTCATTTCAAGCAAGCATTTGTTAATTGACTTCAACACATTTAACAAATACAACTGGGACATATGACTTTGATTTCTTAGAAGGCAAGACAGAGCCGATATTTCCAAGTTAATCTTTAAGTTATACCTGACCTTAAACTTACTAGAGTTGCAAAAAGACTTTTTCCATCAATTTCATTTTTAAAAGTTGTTCATCATGTGACGCCTCACATGTTACTTCAAATAAATTCCTTTCCAGGGAGAGGGCCTTTTTTTGGTTTAATAATTTTCATTTATCTAATGAAAAAGTGGTAAACTGCTGCGTCACGTGAGACACCTGCCATTGATTTACAACAAATTGCTTAATTCTAAGCAGACATTTTCTCCCTAAAATTAATAAACAAGTACATGCACATGTAATTATCAAGTATTTTAACCTGCTATTCACTTACAGAAGAAATAACATGAATTCCGATGGTTACATTGAAAGTCTTATCATACAATTTGCAAAAGGAGGACAAAATTATACATACTCTATATCCAAGAACTGCGTAGAATATAATTCAGAACAGAAAGGAATTTGGTGTAAAATGGTTTGGTTCTGGAAGTAATCCATGCTAACGTAGTTACTGAAGTAGCTAAAGATCTCGTTATAACTGGCTTAAAATATAAGGCAATATCATCATATGGACTCGATGAGTATTGTTGCCTTGAGTTTCCAATAAACTAAATGTGTAATATTTTAGTTCCAAAATAAATTTTTCTGGAAGGTATTTTCACATACTTAATCTCATTTAAACTCCACTCCCCCAACAACCTCATGAGACAAATTCTTCTGTTTAATAGACAAATTCTTCTGCAGCTCAAAGATAGGAAGTGATGTGCACAAGTTCCCATAGTTAGTAAACAGCAGAGGTAAGAATAAATCCAGGTCTTATTATGCAATGTTCTTTCCATGACATTAGAACTGCCCCCATCCGTCAAAAAGGGAAAGATTTTGATTTGATTCATATAAACATTTTGCATTCATTTGTTTATTAAATCCCAAAAATTCTTCTGACATATCTCTTTAAAAAATAATTACAGGTGGCTACACATATAAAGCTGCAAAGTATCCATCCAGGTACCAGAATGACTCTTGATGCACAAGAAGTGAATACAAAATAAGTATTTGTTCTGATTTACTTTTCAGTATTGACACAAGTGATAAGGGTGACAATACTTGTTTAACACTGGCAGGCAGTAAATGTTTCCATTATGCTACAAAGAAATGCAGAAGTAAACAATCTGGCGAGAATAGTGGACCAAACAAAACTCAAAATCACACCAGAAATTCAACAATGTTACAGGTTACGGATACAAATTTCCTTGGCTATTGATGAATGAGGCCTGCCTTCAATGTCTTCCCAGTTACTTCTGAATGCACTGTGAGTGTTTCTGTGGGTTCAGGAATAAATCAACACATACTTACTATCACTGCCCACTGCCATGCCCCTGGGCATCATCTGGGCCTTTTCCATGTTCTCTGAGTCTCTTCCAAAACTGGTACCTATCCCTGTGTTCCTAGTATCGCCCCTTTAAAAGAAGCTTCCATCCCCACAGCTACAAAACTCTTGAGACACCACACAGCACTTCTTCGGTCTTCATAGGATGTTCAGAACTACTCAAAATTGGAAAAAAAAAATGTTCTTCTAACTAACTTTGTTTTGTTCTTTGGGAGCTAGGCCCTATAGTAGCGTTTACGATGTCCTAAATATGACTTTATCCCCTTCAACATCATCACATTATGTCTCTCTCACCATTCAGTGTTAAAACCAGCCCAAAGGACCAGGCAGTCCTTACAAGCTTGTACATAAACCTCTCTTCGCCCCTGGCATAAAACCAAATGCCCCCAAGAGAATCAAATAATACAAACAGACACAGGGTCACGCTCACATACAGCCATGTTCTTATCTTTACTTAGTTTAGACGTTAGTGATTTTTCCCTCCAGGGGAAATTTGGCAATGTCTGGAGACTTTTTTGCTTATCATGACTGGGAGTGGGGGTGAAACAGCAAACAGCCATTGATGATTAAGTATCTAGGTACTAAAGGCTTTTTTTCCTTTTTGCAATTACTGATTATGGCTTTGAGCTGTTTAACCCACCCATTGTTAACTGTGCTGCTTAGGCAATATGCTATCTGACTCCCACTAGGCTCCTATAACATCTCCCTGGAGGCTGGGTCACCATGGTAATGAGGGTGTGAGCTGTTTTTCAGGAATTAGAACTCCTTGTCCACTTCAGGCCGGTTGAGACCACCAACTCATCAGCTGGGCCCAAGAGATGTCCAATAGGCGACCTTTTGATGTCAAGAAGCTAAAAACTCCACTCTCAGATCAAGCTAATGCCACCATTTTCTGAACATGGGTCCTATGAAGAGGCATGAAGTCTGACTATGCTTGCACAGATCATCAATGACTTCTCCTCCCCTCCCCTCCAAACACCTCTCTCCACATTTCAGACTACCTTACCCTGTATCCCATAAATATCCCTGAGTCCCTATTTTTGGGGAAGTGAGTTTGAGGCTCATGCCCTTGCTTCCTTACGTGGCTGCGTTGTGAGTTAACTCTCTCTCTGCTGCAATCTCATCTCGGTGTTTGGCTTTCTGCGCTGCCCGGCCGGCAAAAATGAACCTGGTTCGGTTACAGGGGGGTGAACAACAGTGTGCTGGTGGCATCTAGTGGGTAGAGGCCAAGGCCAGGGATGCTACTAAACATCGTACAAGACATGAGACAGTCCCTCACAACAAAGAACTATTCAGTCAAAAATGTCAATAGCGTGAAGGTTGAGAAACTCTGGTTTAAACTAAAACCATTCTGAAACACGGGAATATATGACCACACAAGCTTAACAATTCATCTCTCTAGGCAAGAGCATATTACCTAAAGACTCAAAAATAATAATTTTTGAAAAGTCATCCTTAGAAGGACATCAATATAGATTTAGCCTAGAACAATCCTTTTCAAACTTTAATGTGTATGAGAATCACCTGGGAAGCTGGTAAAAATGCAGATTTTTGAGATCCAACTCTGACCTACTTAAGCAGAATTAAGACTGCCTCCAGGAATCTGAATTTTTAACAAGCTCCTCAGGTAATTTTGATGCAGCTTGAGCCACACTCTAAGAAATAATGTTGAGGAAACCAAACTGTACACTGATGAAAACAAACTGAACACTTTATTCAGTGAACACTAAAATTCCTCTCCAGTTGAGCATGTGGCTGAAAAACTCTGGACAGCTACCAAATCATTAAGATGATAAATTAATAAACTGTGCTTTCAACTAGTGTTCTTCAAGATTTCACACGCATAGGAATCACCTGGAGATCTTAACACGCAGATTCTGAGTCAGTAGGTCTGAGATCAAGTATGAGATTCTGAATCTCTAACCAGCTCCCACGTGATGGCTTATATTGCTGCTCCTTGGATCAGCATGTTGAGTACTAAGGTCTTAAAAAACAACTGTCAAAAGAGTATAAAGACAAGACTACTCATTTTAACAAAGTGCGAAACCATCAATCACAATTCTAGTTTCCAGGCGCACATGAAAGACAGTATAGATTTTAAATGTTACCCCCACTAGAAAGTCAATCCTGTGAGAGCAGGAGCTTAGTTGGTTTTGCTCACGGCTACATCACCAGCCCCATTTGATACCTGGCACATAATATGCATTCAATAAATACTGTGAATAAATAAATGCTGAACAAGGACTCTCTATATGAAGTCTAATGATTGAAGCCAATTATAAATCAAAATCCCAAAAAGAGCCTATACATCCACCTCAGAGAGAAGAATGTACTTGTTGTTAACCCTACTTAATATACAGATATATCATTAATTGATGACTGAATTTATGATTTCTTTCCTATGGAGCATCCAAAGTGATCATGAACTCCAACAGACTCAAATATGAGTATTTTCTAGAGAAGTGCATTCTTTGGGGGGTAAAAAAATCAGCTGACCACGGAAGTCATACAACTATGGTGTGTGATTTCAAAAGAATAGTATGTGGGTAACACTGATTGTTTCTTCAACCTCCTTTGCATGAAAAACTATGCTTAAGAAGAAATTCAGAGTAATTTAATCTTTATTAGATTTTTTTAATTTAAAAATCCTCCCTTCATATTGTTACCACACAAAATGGGGTTCTCCTACCCGATATGCATAAACAAGCCAATTAATTATGGAATCAGTTTTTGGGTAAAGAGAGCAGTTTTATTCTGTGAGATTAATTTGCAGGGAGACAAGGGGAGTATGCCTTCAGATCTGTCTCCCCAGTTCAAGATTTGGGGCAAAATTTAAGAGGTTAGGGAGAACAAGCTGGCATGTGGACGCCCTGGCGGGGCAGGTTTTGATTGGTGGGCTTCAAGCATTTATGGTAAGGTTCCAAACATTTATGATGACGTGGGGAAGGAATTCTAACACCAGATCTTCTTGAATGACGGACCCCCCGCTTCTGAGAAGAGTCTGACTTTCAAGTTCCAGTCATGTCCTGGTCCTTTTGTTGCATGGGGAGGAGGATCGTTGGTTCCACAGTCATTTCAGGTTAAGATTTCTTCTTCTGCGCATGCTCTGACTATGTGACTTTGCAAATTTTCTCAAAGACAATTCTTAATCATTCTATTGACAAGAGACAAGGTCTGTTGAACTGGTCCTGGAGGGCCTGTGGTTATAATATCAGAAGATACCCTGGCTTCAAAGAAAAAAATGCCCTTTTCTTCTGATTTGAATATCTTAATGGTGTTCAAGTTTACAAATGAATAGAAATTGTTTTTGAGTTAGAAAAAGCTTAAGTATCACAGAGAGTAAATGATGAATTAACCCAGAAGAAGTGTAAATGCAAGTTCAAATTTAGCTGTGCCACTTGATAGAGATTTTCAGAACTTTTGCATCAATAAACTTCTCAATTAGAGAAGGAATGATTCTCATGAAAACAAACCAAAACAAAATATTGTTTCCTCAGTTTTGTACACATGTTAAATAGATGTTCCTCAGTGCCTTAAAAACACTTTAATGTTTCCATATGTCATATTAATCCTGAAAGCTGTTTTACATAGCGTATTTTTCACTTGGTCCGATGGATAGATGATGCCATTAAAAGGGCAGTTCATATTTAGAAGCATCAGAATTGCTTTTCCTCCTCTCTCTCTCTTTTATTTATTTATTTTTTGTTAATTTGTAACCAAGATGGTTAATTCTATGTGTTAACTTGACTAGGGCATGGGATAACCAGACATTTGGTCAAAACATTATTCTGGGTGTGTCTGTGAGGGTGCTTCTGAATGAGATTAACATTTGAATTGGTAGACTGAGTAAAGCAGATGGCCATCCCTAACGTGGGTGGGGCTCATTCAATCAATCGAACACGTGACTAGAACAAAAAGTTGCCTGCCTAACTGGATGAGCTGTGGCATTGGTCTTCTCCTGCCCTGGAACTGGAACTTACACCCTCAGCTCTTCTGGTTCTCAGGTCTTTAGACCTGGACTGAAACTACACCATCAGCTCTCCCAGTCTCTACCTTACTGACTGCAGATCTTGGGACTTCTCAGCCTCCAGAATTACATGAGCCAATTCTTTATAATGTCTCTCGCTCTCTCTGTCTCTCTGCCTGTCTGTCTCTCTCTCTCTATGTATATATCCTATTCTGATTTTTCTGGAGAACTCTGATTAATACAGTAATACAGAAAGCTTGGACTTTTTTTATTTAAGAAACTCTACCATAACATACCAGAGACAGTGCATCATTAACCATAGTTTTGAAAACTACGATGTCTGCTAGAATTCCCTAATTAATCCCACAGGGCTCAGTCCTCTGGTTATTTATCCCCACTCTGTTAGCAGGCCTCCCATTAGCTCCAGTGGGGACTTGTGGTGCTGGGTTTGCAGTCAGAGAACTGAGCTCATTCTACATCTTTCCCTTCATATCTGTTGGAGCAACTCTGTGAGGCTATCACTTATCCTACTCTACGAATCCTCTCAGATTGGCTCTATGTCTCGTAGTTAATGATATGCAGATACTGGCCCTGTCAAGAATTCATCACTAAACGAGTCAGTTGTGAAGTGGTAAGTAGCAGAGAGAGGGAAGGGACAGGGAGGAAGAAAGAACGGAAGGAGGAAGGGAAGGAGAGGGGAAGAAGAAGAGAGAAAGAAAAACACAGTTTGTTTTCCCATTGTCTTCCTGTGTGCGTTATTTACAGTGGACCCAGCTCATTACAGTTTCTTTAATGCCAATAAGCTGCTTTCTGGATGGACTACAAACTGTTTTTTCCTCTCCAGAAACATTCAATTTTTAAAGCCAGTTAACTGCTTTAAAAATTGTCTTTCTAAAGAAAAATCTTTTCTAAGTAAAAAAAGTTTTACTTATAAAACTAAGAATTAGATTAGGTATCTAATATGAAAATTAGAAGTAGTGAAAAAAAAACCACAGAATTTGAAAATAGGTGACATGCATTTGAACCCTGGGTTTATTGTTTGCTGTCTGGGTAAATGATTTTAGGTAAATCATTTAATATCCAAGCTCTTCAGTTTTCTCAGCTACAAAACAGGAGATTATAATAATGCCTACATCACAGGACTGCTGGATGAAATGAGGTTTTGTATGTGAAAAGCATTTTAAATGCCTCCAAAGAACCATATGGTTATTAGTCATTGGTGTTGTTTTTTTATTATAGCCCTGTTGACAAACAATAGCAGGAAAGAGAATACAAAATAGAAAAGAATCAAGAAATTACTTGTTTTCATTAAGAGTTATGCCCACATTACTTTGTAGCTGGGCTAGAATCTCCTGAAATGCTGAACAAGAAACAAGGCAGAAGAGGCATCATTAGCTACAGGATCGCATTACAAAGACAGGAATGAGGTGGGAGGAGACTGTGTTTCTTTTGTCATGAACGATGAAATAAAAAAGAAAATAGATATTTGAACTAGATGTCTAAAGGCAATAATTTATATTTTATGTTTGAAGGTGTACCATGCCTGGCACATAGCAGATGCTAAACAAACGTTTATTAAGATTCCAATCTCCACATTCAGCTGGCATTTATTAAGCACCTTCTACATGCCAGATATTTGATGTTCAAGTGAGTTCATTTGCAAATTGTAGAGAGAACTCAAATCTTACATAAAAACTTAGAGAGTTCAGTAAAAGCAATGGTGGAAATGGGAAAATTTCTGGGATTTATGATCCTTTTAATATGCAAGTCATTTATCAGTGCACATATAATTACAAATAATGAATGTTATGAACAAATGAATTCCTTTCCTTGCACTACCCAAAATAATTTTTAAAGCCCAATACATAACAATTTGAAACAACTGAATCCATTTTTAGCTATAAAAATCAATATGACAATTAGACTTTCTTATGCACAATATAAACACAATTCACTAAGTTCAATGCCTGTCCTGAATAATTACTTAGTGATCAGGTAGCCTAAAGGGACAACATGCTCAGCATATCTAAGCATTTCAAACCATCAATAAACAAATATTTTCTTGAACTCTATACTGTCTGTCCCTATTTTACAAGTTTGGGAGAATCCAAGGAAAATAAGCAGTCTATGACCACAAGACACTAATAGTATGGGTGGGAAAAACATATCCAGACACACATATATAAATCCCTTAATAAGTAATACAGTATACATATACAAAAGTATATTACATCTGGACAACTGCATATAAATCAGTACAGAACAATTCTTCAGTCAGATAAAATCAAAAACAGATTTGAGAAATTAAATCTATGTGCACTTAATTCATCAAGAAAATCTTCAAAGAAAAAATAAAAATTAAGCAGAGTCTACAAGGATGATGAAATCATGGACCATCATCAGACCAGAGAGTGAACGGGACTTCTGTCAGGTTGCATTAGTTTGCTAGGGCCACCAGAATAAAGTACCACAAACTGGGGGCTTAAGCAAAAGAGATTTATTGTCTCACCATTCTTTGGGCTAGAAGCCCAGAATCAAGGTGTTAGAGGGTTGAGTTGGTTCCTTCTGAGGCCGTGACGGACAGTCTGTTGCACACCCCTCACCTAGCTCCTGGTGCTTTGCTGACAATCTCTGGTGTTCCTTGGCTTGTAGGCACATCACCCCTAGCTCTGCCTTCATGTTCACATGACATTCTCCCCAGTGTCTGTGTCCAATTTCCCCTTTTTATAGGGACAGCAGTCACATTGGAGTAGGGTTCCACCCTTATCCAGTATGACTTCATCTTAACTGACTACATCTGCAAAATCCCTATTTCCAAATAAAGTCACATTCTGAGACACTCGAGATTAGGACTTCAACATAAGACTTCTGGAGGGACACAGTTCAATTCAGCACACAGACGAACCACCAAGAGCAAAGGAAATGGTCAACATAGCTGAGGGTGGCCTGTTAAGGCTTAATGGATGAATAGCTATGTAGGGCCCGGTGACAGAGAGCCTTAGAACTTTGGCAAAAGAGTCCGCACGATCTGGTGAGCAACAAGAAGGCAGCGTGAACTCTCAAGTAGAAGAAACAGTGTTTTGTAAACGCTAATCTGGAGCATGGGTCCTGGCTGAGGAGGAGAGGGAGAGACACAGAATGACTAAACAGAAGGTGGCATGAAGTAAAAGTGAAATCTGGGGGCTGGCCTGGTGGCGCAGTGGTTAAGTTCACACATTCCACTTCAGTGGCCCAGGGTTCACTAGTTTGGATCCCGGGTGTGGACCTATGCACTGCTTATCTAAGCCATGCTGAGCCAGGCATCCCACATATAAAGTAGAGGAAGATGGGCATGGATACTAACTCAGGGCCAGTCTTTCTCAGCAAAAAAAGAGGAGGATTGGCAGCAGATGTTAGCTCAGGGCTGATCTTCCTCAAAAAAAAAAAGAAATCTCATAGCAGGAGTGAGAATGAAACAGATTGAACAAATCCAAGACAAATTAGTCTATCAATAAAGGATTATTCTTTTAGAGCATTTAGACTATACCAAACGATTTCCTGTATTCTTGTTAATTTGAAGAAACATCCCACAAACTTACTTCAGAATTCATTAATAAGACATCAATTGCCAATTTCAGTAATTATGTGTGGTACAAAATTATATAAATGACTCACTTACACAGAACTGTTTTCCTGTTCTTAGAGTAATGCCAAAGACTTGGAGAGCAACAATGCCAGGGATTTTAAGGGGTCTGGGAATCAGGGAAAAGCTTCTTCATCGTAATGCTCTATCGGGCTGACACAGCTTAATCCCCAGCAACTATATGTGCTAAAGAGACTTACTTACCAAATGAATGACTTCTGAAGACGCTATCTAAAACAGAATGTCAAGATGGTCCTAACCTTACTGACTAGTGGAATGTCAAGAAGGACAATCTAGTCAAAACATCAAAAGCTCCCACGATTTTCAGTTTAAAGTGATGACACGTAGCAAAGAACCATTCTGAAAAACATGATGTCCAACTGAATTTTTGACATCTTTTATAGACTCTATGTAGTGACAAGAGACTAAATGAAAGAGGAAGTACTAAAAATTTGATAAGAATCTATAGGGAATAAGGGATATTGAATGA